CAGGCAGCAAAAACACATATTGTGACGACCCTGTCAGTGTGTGTGTGTATGTATGTGTGTGTGTGTGCGTCTGTGTGTATGTGTGCGTGGGTGTGTGTTCGTCTGTCCGAGTATTTCTACTCGCCAACCACGCAAGCTTCGATGCTGAAATTTCGCCAGTGTATTCTTTGACCAAGTGCGATCCCACATGCAAACAGGTAATATCAACTGTCAGGCACGTCTATATCGCACATACAAACACGTGGAAGTTTCGGCAAGAAAACTGCTAACTCGGGAACAAGAAAGGCTAGAAAGCTGAAACTTTTGGGTGATGTTCCCCATTTATGTACGACCATAAGATTTCAAATTCAACTGCTTAGAACCGCCCGGGAATCATGTACGGGCATGTGAAAATTTTAGCAGGAAAACTGCTAACTCGGGGGCAAGAAAAGCTGGAAGGCTGGAATTTTAAAGGAATGTTCCCTACTCATGTGCAACTAAAATATTTCAAATTCAACTCCTAGTGGTTTCTTTTCGCGCACCAGCAACTTACCATTTGTCGGTCACTGAAGCCGACATCTCTAACTGACATGCCACATAACTGCACAATTAACTTCCTGAACTTCGAGGGCCAAAATGTCGCAAATTCTTGCTACTGTGATTTCTTGCGACCTCGCTACAACATGCAAAAACGCATGATCTTACTGGCCAGCCTAGTGTGTGTTCTATCCTGGCTTTTTTAATATCCTTGTATATATGTATGTCTTTGTGTGTGTGCGTATCGAAAAACAAAAACATTTGAGGTGGCAATGCTTTTTTGCTTGTTCTGTTGCACACTGCTTTTTTATTATTTCATTTTATTTTATTATTTCATATTTGTTTTATTATACGAACTTCTTTTTATCATTTTAATAATGTCTTAACGATGGAATAACTTTTCACTTGGTAGTCTCAAAAATGTCGTCAAAATTTTGATCTAATCTTTTGATTTCATCATTATGCTGTCAGCCATTTAATTGTATCTGTTGCACTTCTTCTTTCCGTCTTGTGTTTTTTTGCATATCTGTCCGTTGATTTTCTAAAATAAGAAATATTTTGATTTATAGTTATTCCAAGTTATTCTAGTTTCTGTTCCCAAACTGTGTAGTAAAAATCCCTTTCGTATTGGTTAGCTGTGAGAAGCTAAGGCACCCGGAAATAGCTCGAATGGTAGTGCATGCTAGCAGCAGTTAAACGCTTCCAGTGGTTCTCATATCCGAAACTTATCCAAAACAAGCTGATGGCGTTTTGGAGTCTCTTAATCACGTCAGTACCAATTTACCATCAAAACGAATGAACGAATCGTGAAGGGATTGGCGGACTCTGGCATGAAAATGATACTTTTACCGTTATCTTATGCCTGCTAGCTTATTAACAAAAGCGACATGAAAGTACTAAAAATATCGCTATTGTTATGCAGCTGAAAATGCGTCAGATGTTCTTTTTTTGTCTTTTTACTGTAAACATATAAAATCCATAATACTATAGGATCTGCACTCTCATAAGGGTTGCATTTCTTCGTTGCCCACAAAAGGAAATTTTTGCCAAAAGTGTTTCTGGCCAGTTGCTTTGCTGTGCTTTTCACCGTGCCGTTTTTGCTTTTCCGGTAAAAACTAATTGAAACTGTGATTGAGGTGCAAAAGAGGGAAAAAGCCAAAAAAACGATATTGAAATCGTTACGATTTGCATTTTGAAATTTTTGATTCTCGTTCTAATATCACAAATTTTACACTTTTTTTTTGCATCAAATCTATATTCTTTTTTTTTTTTTAAGATTTGTTGCTGGCGTCATTCAACGAGAACGACTTCCAGCATTTGAGCGCCTGCTTTGGCGCGCCTGTCGTGGTAATGTCTTCTTGCGACAATCTGAAATATCCGAGCCTCTTATTGATGCTGTCACTGTATGTGATTTTGAACTTTCGTTTTTTTTTTCTTGACAATTTTGGTATCAAAGTTTTCTTGGAAATTTTGGAAAAAAGAGGTTAGGAATTGCTATAAATCTTAACAAACTTTGTGGGCAAGAGCGACCACTGTACAAGAAAGAACAAAAATTTTAAAGCCTTTTTTGATAGGAAAGGTACTGCCATCATTTGTAGCCATTTTCAGGGTAGTTCATTGAACAGGCATTTTGTTTTATATACATTGTTTGAAGCAATTTCTCTCACTGATAGCTTGATCAGTCTCGATATTCTTGATATGAAGCAGTTTATTGGATAGTTGGATAGAGGTCCTTTATGAAAAAACGTCAAATTTGTCAGCTTGAAAAGAACAAGAAAAAATATTTAAGATCTAAAATTCGAATGAAGAAATTGCAAGGGGACTTGAGGCCTATCAAAAAATCGCTAATTAAGCAAAAAAGCATTAAGTTTGATCTTGAATCGTTATCACTATGCAGCATTACCCTAAGAGTTTTCTTTCTGGTAGTAGCACCAAATTAGTTGCACGTCACCACTCTTCGGTGCTTCACTAATAGAGTCGGAGATAAGTCATCCGTACTATGTGTATGGCATGTTAGGATACAATCTGTGTTTCATCCCTTGGCTATGAAGGCAGCGATTTTTATTTTTTTTTAGGGAGATCCAATCATGAAAACCGTATTCATTGTATTTTTTCAAGGCGATCAGCTGAAAACTCGCGTCAAAAAAATTTGTGAAGGGTTTGTCTTTTTGCGCTGCTTCTAGTACTCGCATTTTACTGTATAATGCACGTGCCTGCTGTGAAGAACAGATTTCACAGCCTGTATTTAAAAAAAAAAAAAGGAATTATTTGAGCTTAGTCTGCAACCGCAGATCTCAGAAGCGGTCTTTGAAAAAGTGAATTTCTAGTACGATCGCTATAAACTGGCCCTTGAGAATGGCAGTATTTTGTTGTAAGGAATTTTTTGGGCCTTATCAGATTTATTTAAACCTGAAAATGGGATTCCTGCGATGTTTCAACATAATTTGGCAAGATATCGAAGGAAAGAGTGTAAGGGATTGGGTGGGAGAGGGGCAGGAAGGGAAGGGAAGCGGTCGTAAAGCTTAAAACGAATCTTTTGTATTTCAAACAATTAATAAAATTATGATTTTTGACTCTGAATGCTATTTGTTCCAGTAAAATTATCTTCATACTTCCTGTCGATAAATATTCCATGTCTTTCAGCTTTCGAGCAACTCTCTATCCATGCCCGGATACGCCTCAGGAACGACGAGAGATGTCCATAGGAGTAATGACTCGCATTGAAGATCTGAAAACTGTTCTAGGCCAGACGCAAGATCACCGGCATCGGGTCCTGGTCTGTGTATTCCTTGTTCATTTCTAGCCTCAGTAGCAGTAACGTTCTTCTTGTAGTTCTCGTACTCAAGGTGCTATAATACCTGCAATTGGCAATAGAATATTGGAACTGTGGGGCGGGGAAGGGGACTGGGAAAGGGGTAGATTAGTACAAGCTTCCAAGGAAGTATGTGCTATTTGGACCGTCATAAGTATGCAGGGAAGAGGAGGAATGCATCTTTGAATGTTTTGAAATAATTTGAATTGTTTGAAAAGAAAGTAGGGATAATAGAAATGGATTATTTGAAAAATGTGTGGGAAATAATACAACGATCTGTGTATACAGGAAAGGGGCGAAGAAGATTCAGAAAGACTAAAATTGAATAAATAAACAGGGATTTCCCAGCCCTTTAAGTCGAGATGTCGGAAGGATACAAGTGGGCATAGAGTTCTTTCCTTCCGTTAAATTGACCTTCCGTTAAGTTTATTTGATCTGAATGGCCTATACCGGAACACATTTTATCAAATTTAGGTAGCAGCATCGAAAAACTTGCGAATGTGGTTGACAAAAGTGCGTAAAATCAAATCCATTTATCATACATTAAATCTGTTCAATTTGGATGTCACCCAGAAATGTCTGATTGCCGAATGCTGGTGTCCTGTGGCCGAGCTGGGACGAATTCAACTGGCTTTAAAACGAGGCACGGTTAGTCTGAAGCGATACGATATGCTGTACTTTATGAAATGATGGTTAATTCTTTGTATTTTTAATTGCGAACAGGGGCATTGCATATTTGTAATTGGTCAAAATCCCCTTCGTTTTAGTTATCTATGAGAAATGGAACCATTTAGAAAATAACCTCTAAATGATATAAATAATACCTGGAGATATTTGTATCATTTGGATTACTCTGATCGCAGCCTTTTTCGAGAAACACGTTTGAGATGAAATGCACATGTACCGAATAGGTGGGGGAGGGCAGGGGAAGGGGGGGGGGGGGGGGGGGTTTT